GGCCAAAAAAACGAGGCGGAGAATTAACGGAGAACACAGTGATTGGCAGACAGGTGCTTGCAGTATTGCAGCCAATGGTGCGTGTGCGGGTGCTCTACCACGTTGGGCATTTGGAACGAAAAAAAATGGGAACGGCGGGCGCCGACGTTTGAACGTGGAGATTCATGGCGTCATGAGTTAGATAACTCGTGCGTTTTTTGGGGGGGGCTCTTTTCCCGTGTACAGGTACTAATGCTAGTGAGGGGGGTTCGGGTATGTACTTGGTACTCCCTACTTTGTGCGTGCGCATTCGATAGTGGAGGAAAGTGCGGGGGACCCCCGCTTGCGATGATGGGATTGGATGCTTCGGGAGAATGTTAAGCATGTTAGGTTCTCCCGAGGAGTAGTAGGACCAGAGGGTTGCAGGGATGTTTACACATCGTATGATGCACGCAGAGGAATTTTTTGTTGCAAATCAGGAAAGAAGGAAAAAAGACGCGCGGAGTGAAGCGGAAAGGGCTTTCGGTAGTGGAGGATTGAGATCTTGGTTGCATCGAGGTTCATCGGTGCTGATCCCTGTGGAGACGATCGAATCTCATGTTAGGATGGAAGGAATAGTGCAAAGGTAAAACGAGATCAGAATGGTGGTACATGGAATTAAACAATACTACGCCTGTTATGCCTCTACTCGATACATCCTACTCATCATCGTAATGCAAGCTATGCGATTCCGCGCGTTCAACCTTCATGATTAAAAGACTGAAAATGCCGTGTAATCCACCCGATGATCCATCCCCCATTCATCATACACCAGGCATGCCCAACCACGCCCTTGCCTGCGGGACACCTCTTGGAAGAAAGTACACGGTCCACAGCCCCGCAAATGCCACAAGAAGTCCCGTGAACTTCTCAAACCAAGTGTGGAAGTAAGCCGCGGTCATGAGCAGCATCCACCACATCAACGCCGCAACGCCGAGAGCAAACTTGACGCCCCGAGCAGTAGCCTCGCCCTCAGTCTTGGCTAGGTCCTTTTCCACGGCCACACTCGCGACCTTTCCATCAGGTAGGGTAATCAACCTGCCGTCCCTGAGCCCCTCAACGCGCGTCAATGCAGGGAGAAACTCGAGCCATAGCAGCGAAGACCCAAGGATGAGCAAAAAGACATGGCCCGAGATGTCGTGACCACCCTTCCACGTGCCCCCCACCGCCTTGCACGTTGCAGCCGTGATGTATTCCCTCGGGGTACTCATATCATCTCTCGCGTCGTCATTCCTCAGCAGCTCGCACTGGCCGCCCGTAAATCTGAACCCGCGATCAATAAGCGGCGGGCCAAAGAACCACTGTGTTAAGAAGTACCACCACATGGTAACAAGACTATATCTCAAGAATGCTCTCAATCTCCTCGTGCTTGCACCCTGTCCAAAACTGGGGTGGAAGATGACAAAAACGGCGAATGCGAGCGTGGTCCAGAGCCAACCTACTTTGACAAAGTACACGTTGAAGACGTTCTTCTTTTGCGCAAAGTACGAGGGCGCAAACTCGGCTGGGTGCGACTGTAGGCTTGCCGAATAGGGCGCATTGCGCGTCGAGGGCGAGAGCGTGCTGAATACGCTGCCGAGCAGGAGGGTAAGCGGGTAGATGGCGATGAGTTGGGCCTCGAGGCGCGTAGGGAGGAACGGCGAGCGACGAGCAGACGAGGTCGGGAGGCGCATGTTACCAGCAGGCGTCTCAGCTGTAGTAGGAGTACCGTTGCTTTCAGCGGATAGAGGTTTGCGTTGTGTTGCCATTGTTGTGCGGCAGGTAGATATGTATGATGCTCGGCGAGAGCTGATGGGCTCTATAAAGGGATGATGGCGTCTTTGGGATGGAAAAGTAGGAGATGGATCTGACTGCTACAGCGTTCCCATGTGCAATCGCAGCGTCCAATGGAACAGGTTCTGGTGAATAGGGAGAAGACGAGTGTCCAGAAAGTGGGCGAGCTCTCATCTGTCAAGCGAACCCAGCAACAATGACGTTACGTCGATTTTGGCGGCTGAGCCACGCGCGCTAGCATGTGGCGCGGACACTAGTCTGTTTTTGGTCAGCCGTGTGCCAGGCACCACCACGTTGTTCAGCAAGATGCCAGATTGACGACTGGCTACTGAATCTTATAACACAGAAATCACGCAAGAATCTCACTTCTCATGTGATTGTTTTTTTGAAATGGAACTTGGCGTAAGAATTAATTTTTCTTCATCTACGACTTGTACTTTTGCTTTCCTATGAGAATGCTCTCAACACATCCATTACTCCGTACATCTTGCTACAGCCTGGGCGGCAACACCGTAGGCACCGGTGGGCGACTCGTCGTACGTGGCAACTCAGGTACCGCGAGCGTAGGCAAGCAAGCACACGCACTGCTAACCCTTGCCACAGTATCATTGCCAGCACACGCAGTCCTTGCAAAGTCCGGCACAGCCGTCTCATCTTCAATCTGCCTCTGCGTAAAGTTGCCACAGAACTCTTGACTCTCCTGCAACCTTCCCTCGACATTTGCTGTGCGCATGCCGCTCAGGCAGCCGTCGACAGAGCAGACCTTGGGCTTCTCGCATTCCTTGCTGGTCATTTTGACGACAAAGGAGCCACGCTCGATGGTGTGCACGAAGATGAAGCCCGATTTGAAGTAGGGGTATGAGGACCAGGAGCCGAGGAAAGCAACAGTGCCGCCGCCCTCGTTCTCGTCGTCTTCGGGGTAGATGTCGAAGAAACCGGCCTCGCAGATACCGCCGCCAGTGGGGTCCGAGGTGATGGAGTTGATGTCCAAGACGTTGAGTCCGTTGCCGTAGTTGGATTGGTAGAGGTAGTTGTCTACAACGTATTGGTTGTGATCGATACTTCGGCGCTTGCCCTCGTAGTTACCCGAGTAGAAGGGATTCTCCAAGTCGCGGATGTCGAAGATGTGAGTAGTGGGCAGACCCTGTGTCATAGGTCCTACCTTTGCGTCGCGCTCATCAAATTCGTCGTCGAGGAAGAGGTACTCTTGCCACGTGACGTTATTAACCGCGCTCTGGTGGACGTACTCGGCACCCGGGTACGACGTCCGCGAGATGATCGTCGTCGTGTTACCCGTCTTATTCGTAACATCATAAATTGTAAGTGTATCTTCATTGCTCGCGTAGCAAATGTCGCGGCCGTAGTATCTGGTGTCTGGGCCACGGTATACCAGGCATTCTGCGTCGTGTACATACCCGTCACCACTTGCACATCCGGGGCTGGTGGGGTTGGACGGGTCGGTCATGTCGATGAAAATGAGACCTCCACGGCAGGGAAGGTTTCCACGGACACGAATAGTCTCGTTACCGCCGACGGAGCCAACGGCAACTGCGTAGTTGAGTTCGGGGTTGACGACAATGTTGTGTGTCCTGCCTACGGGCAAGTCATTCCACTTCGTGCCCAGCCCCCAATGACCGGTAAGATCCTGTTGGGTAAAGTTCTTGGGTTCGCTGCCATCCAAGTCTAGCAGCTTCTTCATGTCGAAGATTTGCACTCCGTGCTTGATGGCCTCACTGCCAATCACTGCGTAGTCGTTCATGACGCGGATCTCGCGCCAACGTGATCCAATGGCGTCGTACTGCGGCAGCCGTCCGAGGTAAACCATCTTGCCCTCGCTGGTGATTTCCGCAAAGGCCGTTCCATCGAATTGGCCAATGGCGACAAACTCACGTCCATCTTCAGATGTCCAGCCCCACGACGAGGAACCTTGACCCTGGCTACTTCCAAGAAGGTGGTGTGGCAGGAAGTGATAAAGATCAATCTGGTCCGTGTTAGCTACACAGCCATATTATTTAGAAATAGAAGAACTAACGTTATGGCACTTGAAGGTATTGTTGTAGTTTCCCGGAATTGCAGCCGCAAAACCATCCACACACGGCGTGTAGCCCAACTCAGGATACCTGGAGCTGTCCATTTGGCCCGAGGCAAGTTCAGCATCCCACTGGGCCTAGATTATAACGTTAGCCACGAAAGCCAATTCTCAAACAGACACAAAAAGAAAGAAAACAATATCTACATACCACCTTCATCTCCATAATCATATGGTGCACAGTACCGTCGTCATACTCAGCAGCGGTACCAAGCATTGCCGCCCTGCTCACGGCAGCAGAGCCAAGCACCGACAACAAGGGCAACAAAACCATGATTACTACCACAAGAGCCTCAACTTCTAGAAGGACAAGAAAAAGCCCGCAGTAGAACTCGCTGCTCTTCCCAAGAACCAGGTAACACACTCACATCATATATATATACGCTACTAATACATTTCCCACTATCCCCCAACCGCCTAGAAAGCCGTCCCCCACCTCATCATCATCCTTGGTCCGACTCAACACCGCCCGTTCGCAACATGACAAGCAAACTGAGCCTATCAGTACATGGCAGGCTAACCTCTACATCTACACCCATCATCCAGGTTAAGAAGGTCGTTAGATACGTAGGCTTGGGTTCCAAGAAAGCCCAAGTGACGGGGGTGTGTAAGTACGGGGTGCGGAAAACCCGGTCTTGTGGTAAAGAAAACAAGAAGGGCTTGCTGACTGCGAGCTGGCTAAAAGTAAAAAGCCGGTACTTCACGCTTGGCGGTTGCGAATTCTCCACTTTGGACTGCGCTGCTAATGGCGGTGCTTGTGCTTGGCGAATGATAACCCAGAAGAGTAGTCTGACTTGGCGGATGGTGTAATTGCTAGGCATCGGTCTTGGAAATACCGCGAGGTTTCTTCTACCCCGCCCTGCTGCAGCATCTTCCTGTCCGCTTTACGCCTACATGCAGTGTCTTGCAGTCACTGGTCCTCGACTACTCGAGCTTCGTCCAAGGATAGTCGTGGTCATTGGATGCTCGGCTATTCGCTCGGCAAACTGCAGAGCAAATGCGCAATACGGTTAGTAGCGTTCTGCGGTTTCTGCCTGGAAGAAGAGGCGAGGTGCCCCGTTTGAATTGGTCCGCCGTTTCTTACAATTGGAATCAAATGTGCCGTTGATATGCGTGTATTGATTTACTACTCTAATAAGGCAGCTGGTTATCATCTTACGAGACGAATTGAGGCAATGTGCCTCTTCAACTTCTACCCCCTCTCCCCGAATACCCTTGCGAAAAAAAGAAACTCTCTGTTGAAGGGACTAGCAACCGCGAGTCCGTATATTCATCCTTCTACTCTGTTTAGTCAAACGCCGCCCTAGATTGGAAAAACAAAAGTATGGAACCAACAAAACAAAAGTAACACTAGAGCGAATTGTACAGGTCGCAATCGAAGTGAACACCGGAGTTGCAACGTTGAGCAGCGAGGCTCTGCCCTCACCCTCCACCAACCGTTGAAAAATGCTTAATTCCTCGGTGCCAGCCGGTTGCCTTGGGGTATAACGCTTTTGATACTTGAAAACGCCAATGGAAATCATATGCACTAAGGAAAATGTATGGCCGTTGCTCGTAATGCGCAGAGGCCGGGTGGCCGAAGATGTCCGGGATGTGGTGGCGTCATTTATTTGAATGGTTTGTAAGGGCTCCACCTTGTGGCAGTTCTCTGACCTGAGATTAGGGCTCTCAGTCGAACAATAAGCGGCATTCCGAATCTAGGAGCACTCCAGTTCGGTTAATCATGTGTCCATTGGAATCGCTGTCTCAACGCCACCCATGCGGGATAAATTGCTGATGTGGCGGCCTCCCATTACCCATGGTCAACGCCGGGTCCATGAAAGAATGTGACCAGTCCTCTTGGGTAAGCAAGTCATCGAACTGAACATTGTGTGGTCCTTGTATTTGCATCCCTGGCTGTGGATAGGTTCGATACTGCTGTGCGCCTTGCATCAAGTACATGGGAATATTACTAAACAGTTGGGCTTCGTTGTCGTTCTGTGGTCGGCCTTGACCACCGGGCATACTGGTTGGTGCAAACATGGGAGGATGCCCCTTCACGTCTATGCCGGACGACATTGGGTGTGGAAGGCCGCTGCTCACCGGTGGAACACTGGTGCGATCAAACGCTTGAGGATGCCTGTTTTCGAAAGCAGTCATTGGTTGATTCGGATAGGCAAGAGGGTCGGTAGAAGGAAACATCATAGTCGAGATATCTGCGATTGGCACATTCATGCCTGATGGATCTGTGAATGAGTTGCTCAAAACCGAAGGACTGTAGACCGAGCTTTGTTGCGCGTCATGAATAGGGGCCATACCAAAGCTTGGCAGACTGTCATTGGAAGAGGTAGGTGTGAGACCCGGAACACCATCGAACAAGTTAGGGTTAGAGATTGAGTGTGAGGGATATGAAGAGTTTGAGCCAATCCCAGCAAAATGACTGTGGGGAGACGGATAGGACGCGCCAGGGCCAGCCGTCTTGACGTGTGGAATGTTGTCAGGGTAGGTGCTCGCTCGTCGTGGGGCTATCGTTTCTTTTTGACTGGCCAAGGTAGGTCTTGTTCCTGAGGATTGCGGTGAGCTTCCTTGTCGGCGTTTTTTTGACGCAATGATCTCTCCACCATGTCTAATAGACTCTGGTAGCCGTTCGAACATGCCCTGAAAATGGTTAGCGTAACGGGTTTATTTGAGGTTGGGTTTTGCGTACCTCAAGCGCAATACTGCACCTATCAGCTGCCAGACTTCTCTTTGCAAAATAGGCCAGTACCTCCTTGCCCTCCACAGCATCTCGTAGCAACTCAAAACTGGTGGGGCTAGTAGGATTTTCCAATACAAAATAGAGAATTGATACGATAGCGAAAAATGTCGTGTACATGGAGAACCAATATGCCCCGGCTAGTACACCGCGCTTCCGCATTTCTGTGGAGATGTGGATGATGTTACGGGAGACGTTGACGCAAGCAGAGGCGCATGCAAATGCCCTCTGGTCAACAGCTTTGGCGCTGAAAGATTGTGAAACATAGTGCAAAAATGGCCGGTATAGCAAGAGCTGTGCATGTCCAAAAGCCATGCGAAGAAGCTGTTGAACCCTGTCATGTCTATCAGCAGATGTAACAAGCATAGAAAAGGGACTCTAAACATACCTTTTGATAACAGGTGGAACCTCGCCACCAGGCTTCAGTGCGGCGGGCAACTCGTCTAGCCAGCGTGCCAAGTCTTTCTCAATTTCTCGGATCTTGGAGTAACCCACAGTGTAGGTTACCGAATTCTTGCCGCCCGACTGCGTACCCTTGATAGGATACACATATTTGCAGATTTTGTTCAGTACTTGTACGAGACGAGTATGCGCGTTGAAAGCAGCCATTACGGAAATGGTTCCTTCTGGCATAGGCAGAATCCCAGTCTCTGTAATGTATTCGTCATCAACTTCGGCCGGCCATTCCTGATCGATATCTTCGTCCTCCAAGAATCGCGGTAATCCGAGCATAGCTCCAACATATGTGTCCATTCGCCGAATAACCCAGAATATACGTTTACGTGTTTCAGATTCGATAGGCGAGAATGTGACATTGAACGAACGGTGCAAACCCATACGCAGTGCTGAGCGTAGGGCAATTCCAATATACGCATAGCATGTGCTAAGCTTGGCCGATGACTGCAAAAACTGTATCATGAAAACAATGGCTTGAAGCGAGGTTAAATCTCTACAATCAGTAATGTCCAGGAGTTGGCGGGAAGCCTTGAAGTACTTGAGTCTGGGTATGTTAGCTTAAGGGTGCTGGCGTCCATTGGGAGAATCACTTACCCTTCGTCAGTTAGGGCATCGTAGCCTGTAACATCAGCACCCTGCTCATTCTCTGAGTAGAGCGTTCCCAGGGCCAGAACAGCGAAAAGCAGAGGCAAGAAACTAGTTTCAGCACTTCCGTAGTTTTCGGGTGCTACTTTGTATACGCGTTCCATCTGCTCATAGAAAGTAGGAAGATGGACCACTCGGAGCATGGCAGTATACTGAATAATGGCGTTGTCGCACAAAGTGCGTGCCTCTTCTTTGCTGGGAAGAGCCACATTGACCGCTGAAGACGTAGATCCAGCTATGGAAAGAGCACTTGGTGAGGAGGCATCATAAGACATTGTACGTTGCTTAAAAGACGGCGAAGCATCTGGTAGAATTTGGAACATGTCATCAAATTGGCGAAGCCCCCTCATGAAGCTAAGTCCGGAAGAATGGCCTTGGTAATCCCAGTTTCCCTCTTCGTCAAGATCCAGCTGGCCTGTCGCTTTGACCATGGCCTCTAGATGTGAGTCAGGAACATCTTCGTTTTGCAAAGGGACATGATGATGGGGCGCGCGTGATTCCATGGGCATCACGGGAAGTCGGGGAGCCGCCTGGGGTAGCTGTGGTAGCAATCCATTCTGAAGGTGGGCATCGATGGCAGGGTCGTTTAAATCTACAGTTGGGAGCACCACCTGCAATAAGGCTTTGGCACGCTTCAGTTGGCTCTCCAAGGCCTCAATATACTGAGGAGTTGCGTTCCGTCGGCGGTTTGATGGTTGATCGTAAGTACTTGCAGCATGTTAGTTTGAGATTTTGCAATATCCGGTTCTATCCGGGGGGCTTTTTTACCATTCTGTACCGTGTTAGCGTGGGTTCAAAAGATGACAGGATTATTTCCGGCTATACACGTGGCTACCAACATACCATAGCTATAGACGGTACAATGCGTGCACGGCTGCTTGCCGTCGCATTTGATTTTCTTGCGCCGACATTCATCACAGGCACGTGTCACCCGTCGTCTTTTCTGAGGCTGCGGCTTGGGTGGCTGATCGTCGCCGACGTCATTAGTTTCCGAGTTTTCTTCGCCGAATTCGGATGTGTCTTCTTGATGGGTTTCCAAAGGGGCGGAGCGGACAGACTCTGCCGGCAGGTCTTCAGCTGTCGTGAGGGCCGGGGAAGTCATGGTTGGCAGATGGAGAGCATCGAGCATCGCGTCCTGTGGCTGGGGGGAATGCTGCGCCTAAGAGTAAACTGGTGGATGCTTCCGACAGGGTTATACTGCGGCGGAGAAGCGTGTGGGTCACGTATTAGTTCTAGGGTTAGCGCCGTCGCATGTCGTATGGGCACCGTCCCGCCGGGCTTGGGCGATGGATGGAGTCGAATAGTCGAATCGTTGCTGTCCGCCGAGTTGTCCGTTTTCTATTGTTACCTGTAGGCCAAGCTCGGGTTTTGGGTTATGGTCTCGGCACGTAGCCTTGGGGGCCCCATGAATAAGATCACAGTCATCTATTGAGCTTGCCTAGAGCAAGCCGTCGAATTTACTGTACCGTTTGGCTGAATCTGAATGACGGTTATCTCATGGGCTCCCGCCCCCACTCGCGGCAGTGGCAATGGTGATTTGGCGGCACTCAGACCTCTTGGGACGCACAGCGGGAGCTGCACACCACTATCGCGGTCAGTGGTCAGCACTTACCATGGCTCAATATGCGCCCTGTGGCGTCACACAGCTGGGAGCCCATGCCACGGGGAACACAGGTGAGGGGTCCTGCTGAGCCGCCATCCACGCCACGGAAGAAGCAGCCATATGGTACGGCTCCAGTTGGGGCCCTGCCTAACAATACATTCTGGACATTGAAGCGAAGAGAAGCGGATCTGTGGCCGTGGCGCTGCACCGCCGGGGGCCCTACTAGTGGCGTGACCCGCTGTCCCGTCGCAGCTTGGCCTTCTTTTGTTGCTCCTCGTGCGCTCTAAAGCCTCTTGTTCGAGTAACGATCATCAGTCAACAACTCTCGCTTGAGGTCATGGTGCCCACACCCTATATCGTTACTAACGGATCCGTCATGTTGCTATCAACCGGTTGCAATTCTTTCATCCCCTCCAGATACAAACTCTCGGGATGTGGACAAGGGCGAGGCTCCGAAGCATCGTCCTCTCCACTTGACCCAGTTGCCCAGCCTTACCTTCTTAGCGTCGGATAAAGTCGCCAGAAACATGACAGCGTGGCTTGACTGCGGCTGGTGACCCTAGTCTCCATGCATTCGGCGGTTGCTTCACCGATTTCATTCATCGCACAGTGCTCCAGCCATGCCTTGGCTGTTTCTCTTGTCAGCGTGATATGTACGGACCTACGCAGCATAGCAGAGTCATTGCAAGACTGTATGCGCCCAACTATCGAATAAAAGAGGAGAGCTGACAGGTGGGCAGCGCCCGTCCATGCCCGCTTCGTGAGCCATCTGTCCGCCGACTGCCCTTTTTTGGAACAGCAGGGGGGAAGACGGGTTTCCCGCGTTAGTTTCCCCGTAGGTTCCTTGTATGTACCGGTAAAGCGTATTGGATTGGCGAGGCGCTCCTTCGCAATACGGTCACACGCACATGGCGAAGTCTGCTGCTGAAGACAGGCCAAGCGATTCCTTGAGTAACGGTGGCCTATTGCTGTTCAGTAAAAGGGGAAAAAAGTAGAGCGTCACCCCATTCGTGCCTCTCGGAAGTACCGATACTGCACACCTGCGTCATAACAAGGCCCCTTGGCATGAAGAGACCTCCGAATGCGGATGTTGGAGGTGGGAACACCTTTTTGATGGGTACGATGTTTAGTGGCGCATATTATCGAGCTAGAGGTGCCGACTTCCGGCTGACTCAGCTGGTTCAGCCCAGAGGGCGGCTCTAACTGGCTGCTTGCCATGAGTCGCAGGGTGCAAATGGACATGTAAGCCGAGATGCCAATGTGTCTCATGCACCGGCTGTTGTCATAGCCACTGCACTAGCCACACCACTAGCCACGGCCCTAGCCACACAAAGAGCAATCACGTACGATTCCTTTTGCGCCACAACTCAAAAACCTGGAACAATATCCACCCAAGGAGTGGCGCATGTCGCGTCCTCGGCTGGTGTTGCACTGCGTGAAACGTGGCTGAGAAGCAGGTTACGTGCATAATGCCAAGCGCAGATGTGCAGATGTTCAGGGTTGCCAAGTCGTCTGCGTTTTGCTGTGGCGCATGACACGACTTAGTGTGGCAGCATGCCAGCCAGGACCATGACTACGTGGCTAGCCGACGGCAACCATCCAAAGTCCATATTACCCCATGCAAAAGGAACAGGAAAAGCGTTATCCCATGTACGAGATTCCACCCGTCATCGGCCCCTTCTCCGCTATTGTTGAGAGGTCATCCTTGGACTATCTATATTGCAGTACACTGAAACTGTCCCCTTTCATCTGCGAACAGACGGTCAAATGTCACATGGGTCGCACATCTGTGCGCTCGATCACAGTTTAACGACCGCGTCGATCGTATTGAAAGACATGCGGTCAACAGCCAGCGCATAGCGTCTAGGCAGTACTAACCACCGAGCAATAATTGCGAACTTGTTTGTTGGTTTGTATCCAGTTTCGGCGTAAAAGGCCGCGATCGATCTCAACGTTTCCGCCAGGCGTTGGCTTGCGCAGACGTCACAGCCTTGTCAAGTTGCTCTAGTCATGGTTTCTCGAATGTAGGGACCATTAAAAGCCGAGTTTTTACCATTTACGCCAACTAGTAGGGAATAAGTACATAGTTTGCATGGACCCGTTGCTTACTAGTGATAACTGGGCTTCGTGCCAGATTGTTGGACCAGAACGTATGTAAGATTGTGGTAAGATTGTGGAAAACCCAGAGACGAAAATCCAGGGGATGCGACGATCGTTGTGACGACATCCGCAGGATTGGGTTGACCAACATCTGTTGTCTGCAAAGATTCTGCTCCGTGCATTAGCAAATTGGAAATGTATGTACGTGGGAAATGGCCAAGGCACAGGAAAAGTCAGATACGCACATCAGGTTGGGCCCCCGGTGAATGACTTTGACTTTCGGCGTTGCGCTGACACTTGGAATGAACCATGCATAAACATGATGAAATGCCAAGATTGTTGCTCTCACGCTGACCAGGTCTTGGAGTCTAGACATGCAGTTGTGAGCGTACGCCCCAATAGCCCTGTTCTGTGAGCATGTCTAGCCATTCGCATAAGTACACACCACTAACGAAACTCAGGCATTATCATATGTGTTATATATTAATAACAGTGGTTTCAGTCCACCGCTTTCTCTAATGTAGGCGATGGAGCCTGTCTCGCACGCGGAGTTTGGATGTGGGAAATTGAATCTCTAGACCCATGAGACAGCATACGCAGCCTGGTGCTGTCGGGAAGAGATGAATTATGATCGACTATTTCCGATCTCTAAGGTTTAATAATTGCATATGCAGAAGTTGGGGTAGATCAAAAAAAGCTTTTAGGTAAGTTGACGGCATTTCTGCGGTCATTTCTCGTGTTAAACGGACATAGATCTCCCAGTGATGCAATATCAAGGCCTATGCACAACAAGCTTGCTTGCAACCATGTATATGGGCTTCCGTGTGCGGGAAGCTTCTTTTGTGACAAAGGACAAGTGCTGGTGAGTGAGTAGGTGAGCGGGTACAGCTGGCAAATGGAACGGTAAAGATTAGTCGCACGACTGAGCCTGTTGATTGATAGTCAGCTCATCCGCACCAACATGGCATGATGAAAAAATCAATCAGATATCGATGGCTAGTTCAGTATACAAGCGTAAGAGCTATTGGCAGAGGAGATAGCCACTCAGTCAGCGATTTCGCATCGTAATCAACAGCGGCTGCGCGTTCCTTGGAAAGATTCGAGAGTAGTACACCTCAATTTGTGCGAATGCAGGAAACGGAGAGTTGCAGGGCGTACCTGCCAACATCACCCATAGATATATCATTGTGAGTGTGTTATCGAAAAAAGGAACGAATCGATTGCGATTCTGGTATGAAGAAAAATTCTTAATCCGCGTATTTTCAGACATGTACGTTTCTCTGTAGGCAAACTCGGGCGTTCCTTGTGTAAGCTGCTGTGTGGTCAATGTGCTGCGAACTTGGCGCAAAGTACAAAAATTGACTTGGTGCTATTTTTCTCACGGCCAGGTATGCTCAACGTCAACCATACACGGGATCTGGATAAATACAACTGCAGTAACTGGATGCGACGTATCTGTCAATTGTAAAGGACTGCCACGGGTGTAAGGAAATCACAGAGGTATTTGGCGGATTTGGAAATGGCCGTTCTGAGGATCGTGGTACTCCCTGAGTGCTGTCTCAGCACCACGGTACTACTATTCCCACCCGATTTCGATAAGCGCAACGAAAAGAGACAACACCAAGCTCCAGGACTCTGCACAAAACTCTCAAATCCGGTGAGGTGCTTCGCCTCCCAAACGAGCATCTTGCGCTGAAGAGGACTGGCAGAGGCTTCTCGAGCGACGCTAACCCGTGCACGGGCCACACACACACCAGTGGAAATATTCGCTTAGCCTGTTGGTGGTATTGGAATCCGCTGCAACGAGCTCTTTCCTCACGACAACTAACCTCACAGCACACCGGAGTCGAGCAAAATGTCGACCTTCGAACCCGTCATTGTACGTACGCCCCGAATACACGAAGCCGCATATTTCTAGCGCACGCGGTTGCACTTGGTCGCCGTGCCAGCCCGCGCCTTTTGTCAACACCAATGCACAAGCTGCTTTCCAAGGAGTCTCTCGCTGACAGCGCACCCAGGTCATCGACGGCAAGGGCCACTTGCTCGGTCGCCTCGCCAGCACCGTCGCCAAGCAGCTCCTCAATGGCCAGAAGATCGTCGTCGTACGATGTGAGGCTCTCAACATCTCCGGCGAGTTCTTCCGCGCGAAGCGTACGTTCACCCACCGAATACGAGCAAGCGACGTAGGCAGCAGGCCACAATGAATGCACACGAAAAGGGGGTTGACCAAAGGGCATTGAATGGTTGTTGGTGTGCATTGTGGCTGCTCTTGCGAAGCGCTCTTGGAACACTCCAACAAATAAACTACAGCAGCTGACAGCGTCATACAGTGAAGTACTCGGCTTTCCTGCGCAAGCAGACCCGTTTCAACCCCACCCGCGGTGGTATGTCTCCCCTAT